TGTGTGTGTGTGTGTGTGTCTCTGTGTGTGTGTCTGTGTGTGTATGTGTGTGTGTGTGTGTGCGCAACAGCAGCAGCAGACTCATGCCTCCTCCGTGTGCACTGGCTCCAGTCAGTGGTCCGAGAGCTCAGAAAGCAGACGAGAAGACGCCAGCGCCGAGCCTCCTGGGTAAGACCGCCGCCTCACGCAGCTCGTTAATAATCACTCACGCTGACGGCTCTCTGCATGCAGATGTGAGGCTGCAGCGGCGGCGGAGGACTGTACGCTAGCTACAGGTAAAGCTGAAGCGTCTCGCTTCCTCATGAAATGACACGCTTCAGCTTCTCCGCCCCTCATTGGTCAGATGTGTTGAGTGAAGCTCCTCCCCCGAGCGGTGATGTCATCAGCCATGTGGCTGCCGCACTAACGGCCGTCTCTCTTGTGTTCTGTGTTCTCTCTCTTTCTCTGTGTTTTTTCCCTCTCTTTCATGTGTCCGGATCCTGTGGCGGGGGTGGGGCCTGGCTCCTCGACGCCGCCTCCTGATTGGACACCCCCAAATGACGTGCGGCTGTCATCCGTCGCACTCCAATCCCGTGTTTGATTAACTCTGTGCTGCTGTGGCGTGTTGTTTGTCTGTGTTTCTGGTCTCTCTCGTCAGAGCCGCAGGTGAAGCGCGCGAGGACGGGGCTGGTGGCGTACGCTGGAGACTCCTCCGATGAAGAAGAGGATCATGGACCCTCCAGAGCAGCCGGAGCCGCAGGATGGATGTACCGCTGCCCTTCATCACCGCCCTCACGGCCCAAAACACAGACGCAGACGCGGCCCATGCCCTTCTGGATGGCACCGTAAACACACACACACACACACACACACACACACGTTCATGCCTCCTGAAGACTGTCCCGTGGGATTATGGGTAGATGGAGGAGTGACGCTGCAGGATCGCGTGTCTCTCATCACTCTGCTTTACTTTCTCTTCATCGGGTTGATTTGTAATGACTTCCTCTGTGAGATTCTCTTGACAAATAAACACACGCATTGACTCACACACTGCTTCCTGTTTAATTTCCTCCAAACGTCCCTTCACACCAAGAACGATAAAGAACCATAAGGGTGTAATAATCGCTCTGACTCTAAGAGAACGGTGAGTTCACGTCACAATTACAATGATAACAACACAGAGTGATATATCACCGGAATCACTGACAGCCAATTGGAATCCATCCTGCTTTAAAGAGCATTTAAAGCGACTGCAGCACGATTAGAACAGAACATTCTTTAGTCATCGTTATAGTTATCATTACTGTCATTATAGTTTTGTTTTTATTTATTATTTATAATTACTGTTATCGCAGTTGTTATTATTATTACTGTATTGTTAGTTATAAGTATAGTTGTTATAGTTATTGTTAGTTATAATTGGAATTGCTGTTTATTATTATTATTATTATTATTCTCCAAAATGAATCTGATTTTTGAGGGCCTAAACATGCATGAAAACTCATGAAACTTTGCACACGTCTGATGTGGGTGTGGCAGAACGGCTCGATAGCGCCACCTATACACTTTCAACGAAGTGCGCCTCGAGCTACGTTTCGCATACATGTACGAAATTCGGTAGACACATGTAACGCACCGATACCTACAAAAAAGTCTCTTGGAGCAAAATCCGAAACTTGGAATTGCTGTTTATTATTATTATTATTCTCCAAAATGAATCTGATTTTTGAGGGCCTAAACATGCTTGAAAACTCATGAAACTTTGCACACGTCTGATGTGGGTGTGGCAGAACGGCTCGATAGCGCCACCTATACACTTTCAACGAAGTGCGCCTCGAGCTACGTTTCGCATACATGTACGAAATTCGGTAGACACATGTAACGCACCGATACCTACAAAAAAGTCTCTTGGAGCAAAATCCGAAACCAAACAGGAAGTCAGTTATTTTGAATTTTCTCTGCAAATTTGTCGTTTTTGCCATTTTCAGGCGTTGTATTTTAACGAACTCCTCCTAGAGATTTAATCAGATCGGCACAAAATTTGGTCAGTGTAATGTTAAATTGTTAAAAGTACTTAACTCATGCATACAATGTCTGATCCGCCCCAAACTTCACGTTTGATAGGAGTCCTGTCCTGAATGCATGCCAATATTCAGTTATAGTCATAGCGCCACCTGCTGGCTACAGGAAGTAAACACTATCTAAAACATGCAGTGTCCAGTCTCAGTGTTTGATAAGAGTCCTGGCCTGAAGACATCTAAAGGCCAATATTCAGTTATAGTCATAGCGCCACCTGCAGGCAGCAGGAGGTATGGCACATATAAATGACTTTGACATATTCCTCCTGTATTCAGTTTTCCTGAGACCACAAAGTGGAGGTGGAGGCCCCTTTAATCACTGTTGTTATCATTAGTTATAATTATCATCATCATAGTTATCTTTGTTATTATAGTCATTCCATATCTAGTATGTATCATTGATTCCACAACCAAAAGTTATTGACAAATTCATAGTAGACTCGCACAATATTTGTGAATTCATTTTATTCAAAATTAGCAGCTCAAAACTTGATATTTCAGACGACTTGTCCTTGTTCAATATGAAAAGTCACTGTTGATTTTTCTACATTGATCATCAGCGACGTCAGTCTGTGAGCAGCGGGTCGTGGCTCACGCGGGTTTGATGTCATAGATGAAGTCTGAGGGAAGAGTTTCCGGCGGGATGCGCTTCAGCTGTTCGTCATACGAGCGCAGCGTCCACAGCTTCTCCAGCTCATACATCTGTCTGGTGTCCGGCAGCATGAGGTGAAGCACCATCGGTCCTGCGGGACAGACGAGCCGCCTGTTAGCCACACACACACACACTCATACTCACTCACACACACACACACACTCACTCACTCAT